GAATGGGCTGGCTCGCCCGATGTAATACCACGTCTACACAGAAGACAGGCGTGAAGTGGGAGCAATTCCGCGTTTCGTCTGATGAGTGTGGTGCCGGAGGCCTATGTTTAGTACCTTTACTTTTTCACCCTTTTCTTAAGAGGAAAGGAGAAGGAAAAGTGGATTTGACGATGAAGGAGACACATAGAAAGGGGAAATGTCCTTTTTATGTGAGTTTCCTCCTCCGTCAATTAAGGGTATGCAACGCATCTGCAATTGCGGATGTTTATGGGCAGCGGTCGCTTTCCATTTCTGTGGATTCAGGTGGTCGTTTGCTCGTTTGCCAAAAAAATAATAGTTGATTATGAGTATTTTTTTAACTTTTTAAATTAAATTTAATTTTAATTGTTTCGAGCGAGTCTTCGAAACTGGATAAAATCTTCGTAGACCATTTCCTGTTGACCCAGAGGTCCTGGACATTGAGAATAGCTGCTCTAGGTCACAATAGAACAAACTCATAAACACCTTGGAATAACATTACCCTTCTGTCCCTTACACTTTACCCTTGTAGACTTTCATGCATTAAATTACACATTCGTCTCTAATGTTGAATTAATTCCATGTGCGAGAAGCCTAAATGTAATATGTAGGTCAGTTAGAGTTACAACCTTAATATGTCGAAAAGGGACATTGACGAGATAGGGCTGTGGGGAATTTATTGCGGTCGGAATATTCAAGGGGAGAGTCAGCGCGGTTATAGCGCACCTGAATAGATGTTAGATGTGTCGGTGATTACAGGGTTGTCGATATTAATTTTATTGAACATTTATGTTAATTATTATCATATTCTTTTTTTTTTATTACAATATGCTTAAGTAACTAGTTAGTTTAATTCTCTTCTCAAGGTAAGTAATACAGTATTGAAGTAAGCTGTAAAAATTGTGTCAAATCTAACCCGGTTGAAGTTTCCGCGTTATAGGAATACAGCACATAAGATGTTTTCAAACAGAGCAGAGCTATTAATCGCGTTATAGGGGGTTCTTCTTGAAATATAGTAGAAAGTATTCGCGTTATAAGGGGTAACTTTCGCGTTATAATAGGGTACCAAATTCACGTTTTGAGGGAGTGCGTAATAGAGGGGATACTGTACTGTGATTTTATTAATAAACTTGGTACAATATTAGTCTCATTTGTAAACATTGTCACACAAACATTCGGGGTCCAAAACTCAGTCATGTTGAGGGTTCTTTTTCTTAGTCATCGTGGTTTTATGCGATAGCAATCGTCACTTGGTATTGCTATATCGTTTGTATAGTAATTAATTCATCAAAATGTGACAACCCTAAGTAAAGGTCTCGCGTTAATATCTCAAAATTTTATTGCGGTCTCCGGAGTCGGTTTGAGAATGTTCTGCTGCGAATTGCTAAGGTTTTTATGTTTATACAAATCGAACTCACATTTTATCATCAACGTTATTTTCGATTTTGTGCAAGGGATGTCTATACTTTTAATAAATTGATAAATCTTTTGTATATAAAATATTTCATTTATAATATTTACAAGTAGTTTTTATAAAAAGGTTAAAATAAAGTATACTTTAGAAAATGTAACAAAACAAAATCCTTTGGGAATTATACGGTATTTTTTCTACAATTTTCAGGATTGCAAAACTCCATACAATCAATGCTCCATTAAAATTGACACCGTTTCAAAGAAAAGCTTCGCTTCTAGTTTTTATTTCACTAAAAATGTTTCCATTTTTTAACAAAACGTAAGTGCTTAGTGTAGTTTTTATTCCATTTCTTTTAAATACATTTATTTTATGAATGAAATATTCTTCAGTGTTTTGCATTCGAAGGCAGAGTATTGCTCTTTCATCCGGAACGCAAATTCGAACTGAAAACCTAGCCTACGATTTAAATTCCAAATTAAATTTAGACATACCGGTACACTCGAAATTGAACCTTATTGTTAAGAACATAGATATGTTTGCTGTAGAATAAATTTGTTGTACCAGATTTCTCTATTGATAGTAACTAGAGTGGAAGAATGGAGTGCAATGGGATCCGTGTTACACACAACTAGACTGGAATTGAAGCTTCATTAAATAGTAGAGCACTTTTTAGTATACGTTTACTGGCTTAAACCTAAGCCTTTAAGTACTTAGAAAAATCATCCTACATACTTGACATAATAGACATTAATAAAATAAAAAAATGGTTTAAAATCTTAATCTAGTAAAGTCTATTACTCTGTCGTCTCCACATCCAAATTTAATGAACGCAACTATAGCAAAGTTCAAGCACCAACTAACAGCAACTCCAACGAGTTAAAACTAACCTTATGTCATCAGTATAAAGTTTAAAATACCATGAATGTGTAATACGAAGATTTTGATAGACCGTAACACGGAAAAGGCGTTCCTAGTATAACGATGACAATAGGAAAGCTTGTAGTCAAAGTTTAGTTCACTAATGAACGGGAACCGACGTATCTCAAGTACGTTTAGTGAAACAGTCTCTTTAACAAATTCTATTAATTATCCATTTACGTTTACGTAATTCTAGACAAATACATATCTTTGGATTTCCAGACTTCACTACTCTTATACACGTCGGTGGCTCAGTGGTTTAATCACTTGACTTGTAATCTACAGGTCTTAGGTTCGAATCCCGCCATGTACCAATTTATTATCGTATTTCCATATGTACATAATTTACCCGACGTTCTTACGGTGAAGGAAAACATCGTGATGCCTGCACATATCGGTGAAAAAATTCAAATATGTGTGAAGTCAACCAACCC